TAACTTCAAGCATTTCCGCACATTTTTGCCCATGTCGGCGCTATTCCAGGAAGCGAGACGACTGCATGGTTTTGATTTAGATGGTGAGGCTCTGGGGTGGACTCTCCAATCTTCAAAGAGGTTCCCATATTACAGTAATCCCAATTTCGCTCGGGATATTTCACTTCACCTTATTGGACTAGCGCTTCCGTCTTCTGAACGGACGAGCACAAAAGCCTTAATAGGGCTGAAAAATGGTTAGCATACGAGTAGGGAATAGGAATAACTCCTTGCTGCTTGAATATTGGGCTTAGTAGCCTGGTCCCACCTCTTTACTAGGCTAAATATGGTGCAAGAGTTATATCCCGAAGTTCAAATAACATTGTGGCCATTTTCTGTTCGGATTTTAATGCATTTTCTACAAAAAAGGATGTTCCCATAGCAATAGCGATTACTCTAAATTTGACTGCGAAATTTTTCCCGTTTCACTTCAGCCCGCTCATCACTGGGTGACATGTAGCGCATTTGGCGCTGGGAAATGTTTCATTGCAGTAAGTACACATAGCGCCCGCTTATAAACAACCCATACAGCCAATGTGGCCATTTGGTTGGGACATTTATTATCCCCCGTCGAATGATGCACATGTTTTTGATTCAGATCGCCGGTATTGTCACGATTGGCCTAGGACTTTGGCTACTCTGGGATCCAGTTGCTTCAGAGTTTTTCGCGCTACATTCAGCCCATCATGGTTAATCTCACCTTCAAGGCGTTACACTCTCTACTAAGTGATACTACTAGTAATCATTTGACAGGCTCATTTCGGATTGTTGGATGGTTGTTGTTGGCTGCTGGGGCTTTAATAACATTCGTCGGATGTTGTGGTTGCTGTGGAGCATGGAAAATGAACCCATGCGCCCTATTTCTGGTGAGTGATTCGTTCAAAAAACAAAAATAAATAAATAAAATCTTTTCCCCTTCAAAGGCACTTCTTGGCCCTCCGCACATCTCTCGGGCCCATTCTCAAAGAGCTAATTAGCTCTAGTAGTTGATTCATGGAATGCTTAAGTATTAATCCATTGGTAACATGATGACTGATGAAAGAATTATGAGCGCTATGTTCATAGTACGTATCCCATTCATAACCAGTTTCGTATTGACAAGTTAATTGCCACCTTTGAAACATTATGACACATTATTTGTCATATTTGAAAACATCTCACAAAATTTCAAATCAATAAGTGGACCTTCATGATCCGCGAAAACAGGTGGTGCTTAGCAATGGAGGATCTGAGGGAAATGTAGGCCTGCGGGCTCGAATGAGTTTAACAACTGCTCATTCACCATGGTTTTTGTTGGAGAGCGCAAAGATTGATACTTTTCTTTCTACGTGCATTGAACTTCAAATAAAATGATCTTATTTAGTTCTTCCTCATTCTCGTCTTAGTATTTTGTCTGGAATTGGCAGCAGCCTATATAGCCTATAATAAACAAGAAACAATAAGGTAGGTCAAATAGTATACAATATTCATTACTAATATTAGCGAATAATTATCACGGGATTTTTTTTGGTTGATCGTTAAAAATTGACTTTCGTATCAATTGCTTCATCTTCGCCCGCGCATTCTTCTCGCCTCGTCACGGGGTCTCGTCAATGTGAAAGAAAACAACCCGCAGTTCTTCCAAACAACGATGGCTCTTCAATATAGCGCGATTTAGCTTGCCGAGTCATGACGAGGGGGAGACCCTTTCAAAAGAGCTGAAAAATAGTTTTAGCGCAGAGTAGAATAACAAAAAACTTCATGGAATAACTTTTTATATTACTCATGATAACTGAAGATTACTCAGATTCATAGC